GTAATTCTACCGGGCTTGGGTTGGGAGTTGAGAGGCTTGAGGGAGCTGGGCCTTGGTGTTAGTGGACTGTGGGGATGCATGGGCTGGCCGCATGGGCCTATAATTGGGCTTAGTAGTATGAATTTTCGGTATTTCGATTTACCAAAATTGTAGAATTATAAAACCGAAAACCGAACCGAAATACCGAAATACCGAAAATTCATAACCGAATTAGACCGAAAACCCGAAAAAACCGAAACCAAAATACCAAATTAATTTGGTTCGGTTCGGAATTCGGTTTTTCAGATTTTATGCCCACCCCTATGTGACACCGGTTCTGGTGGTTTATGTTTATGGATTCGTATGGGTATTAGCTAAATTGTTGAATTTCGTTCTTTCGCATTACTATTATTATTTCCGTTGTTTATAAATATGTTAGCTTGAAATTGTTAAGAGATTAAAAATATGAAAAGTGTAAACTAATCGGAATTGTTGACTTGCCTAGCTTTCACTAGTAGGCGTCATCACGACTCCCGAGGGTGAGAAATTTGGGTCGTGACAAATTGCCACTAAAAGTTTTATCTTTAATGACAATTATTTGTGGCAATTATAATGGCTACTAAATTCAATTCAAAACGGCTAATATGCTCCTTTAGTGTCCATTTATATAGCCGCTAAATTCAAAATAATTGCCGCTAGAAAATTTACATCTTTAACAGCAATTATTTTGTGGCAATTAAAATGGCTATAGTATCCCTTCTAAAAACATCTTAGTTTAACATTTTAGCGTCCATTTTAATGGTTGTTATGTTCAACTAAATTGCCGCTAAAAGTCAATATCTTTAAGGACAATTATTTTTCAGCAATTATAATGGTTGTAATATCCAGCTAAATTAGCGCTACAAGTCACTAGCAGTAATAGCATTAATTTAGCCACCATTAATAATAGTTATTACATTCGTCTGAAATATGATCCAAATAATAAAATATATTAATATTAATTCAAAAAAAAACATAATATATCTCATTAAATCTTAACAAAATGAAGTGCTAATAAAAGATATTAATGTCATAGTAACTAAAAAAAAATAAACATATATTGTTCAAACTAAATAACTAATGTCATTATATAACTAATCCAAAGAATGATGGTCTTCAAATGATTTCCGCAATTTTTCATCATTTTGAAATCTTCCTCCCGCTAAATTATCGAACATTAGACTGTATGACCTGAAATTACAAAATAACTATGTCAAAGGACGAAATATATGCCCCACAAAAGGAAATTACCGAGACCTCTAGTCCTAGCTATTCTTCTCCACAGGGATAAGCCGGAAAAGCTAGCATTTGCTTGTTTTCACACTGAAAGAGCTAACATCTCAGTTGCCAAGCTAATACATATACATAGGAAAATGTTTAGTAACACTCACAAGGCAATAACCAAATTTAACGAAGAGATAAACTGATGATGTCTTTGTGAGAGGAGTTCGATGTTAGGAATGATTCAAAATAAACTTGAAACATGTCATGAGATAAAGTGATGATATTTTGGGAGCCATGAGTTTGATGAATTTGGAATGATGCAAGAACATTAGACTTGAAACATGTCATCATAGCATATGAACATACAGTTTTAGAGAGTAAATAGAAATATTTAGCAATTTAAATTCCAGAAGGTCTATTGTACACTTCAGAAAAGACAGGCATGAAAAACTCTGCTTCACTCTTATGTTCCAATTATATAATACAAATTTTTATTCCAATAAAAGATACCCTCTGTCCACCTTCACTCTTATACACTAATTCCTCACTTCATTCTTTGTATAACCATGACAGAAAAATGTAGCATGGGTTTGTTAAGTGTCATGGATCGTCTTTGGTTTCACCAAATTAGCCTCTTTTCAAAAAACCCTTCAGTTTTATTTCCTACAAACCAATGTCAAACAACTTTAATTCCACACGAATAATTCTCATCAGTTGAATTAGATAGCACTCTTCTACAGGTAACAAATCGTCTCCTAGTTAGGCTTATATACTCTATACCCCCTAACCTTTTAGTGTTTGCTAACCAAACAAGCAGATAGATGCAGCGCTCAACCAAGAAAACAGTCCCTAGAAAGTCATGATTGTCATCAACAAGAAGATGGGTGCAACAGAAGCTTCTGGTTTACAATCCATCTTTTAGTCCCATAGAAAGATCTGATTTTTCTTACTTCAATGGTGTTAAATCCACAGAAAGGTGAATGTGATTCAGGCAGGAAACTACTATCACAATTTTACGACATTCATAACAAGTGGGAAACGGAAATATATAAAAGTAAGAAGTATCCAAGTAAGCCCAAATACAATAACAAATTAATAAAAATCGAAGCATCAAAACTCAAACAATAGCGACGAAGGACAAAGAGTAGTACCGTGAGAAAGTTGAGCATTTTCAGTAACACTAGGTATCCTTGATGTTCATGTCCACTATTGGCGTCCGGGATCTAATAAATATTAACATGTTAGGTAACAATACTTTTATATAATAAAATTTAATTAAAAATGTTTAAAGCTTATAAAATTGAGTTACCTGTTCACCTGAGGTGGCATTGCTACTTTGAGGCATTTATTAAACGGCACATCAACTGTCTTCTCCATTGAAAGTTTCCAATTATCTTTCAGTAAAGTAGGCCCACAGACCTTTTTTGCTTCTGAATTACCTAAAATGAAAAAGATCTGAATCATCTGATGACATCAAGGATCCTAACTCCAGATATATTACGCTACTAAAAGAGAATAGCAAAGCAAGAATATTATTATAAATGTCACAACAATGTCAAAAAATTACAACAAAGTGCTCATATTGGAACTAAAGTTAACGCTGTAGGAAATCAAGAATCATCACATGAGAGGAAGCAAGCAACTGATCCTAATGCCGAAGTTTTGTTAGTTTCACAATGTGCAACACAACCAGAAGATGCAAACCTAATGAACTTTATGTAGATTTTCCCGTTACTGTGCGACAAAAATACAAATACACAAATAGAAGAGTGTCCTAATAAGTTGAAAGAAGCTATCTTCAAGGTTGCTATACGTACAAAAGCCAAGACAAGCATATGTTACCCGAAAAATAGAACTGTTGTAGCAGAACTGCATAGTTTTCCTTCTGCAGTTGTTGCACAATTGTGTAGTTGTCCCTCTACTGTTGTTGAACAACTGTGCAGTTCTTCTGCAGTTGATCATTAGTTTTAAGTATAAACTCATGATCCCAAACATACATCTTAACAGTTAACAAAGAGAAACCATATCTCTTGTCTTCAAGATTAACTAATAGAGTATCAGTTGTATAACAATATGCTCACTATGTATAGTAGGCTCTATTAAAAAATATCAGCTCTACAATGATAAAGATTGATGTTTAAACCACCCTACAGTCCTAAGAATTTAACTATTAAAGGAAAGAGAACCAATAGAACTAGACAAAGAACTTTCCCTTTATGTCAACACCATGAGCAGCACCTCATGTCTGAATATTTGTATCATCAAATATTTCAGCACGTAATGTTCCAAAGTTTTTGACTTGGTCTCTTTGTTTCTTTTTCTTTTTCAAGAAAGATAACAAATTATATTCCATTAGCACAACGGCAGTGGAAGAGCCATATTTACAATTCACAAAAAGAGCACAAAAGTTCCCTAGTTAATCTTACAGGGATTCTATGATGTTTAACAGTGATTCTACTTCTTCTACCAACTCTCTTTACACCAAAAGTGAAATAGAAGAAAGCAATTCATCTTAATATATAGTTATTTGTTGTGTTCTTTCATGAAGTCCATTCACTCAAAAGCAATTAACACTAATAAGCATCACAAATATGCGTTGTTATTTAGAGATCATAATCCAAATTACTGGGAAGAACAAATTAATGTGACTACTCAGAGCTTTCATTGATTTAAGATGTAACTTCACATTTTTCTGGTAAGCCATCCACTGAGACTTCTTTCATTACACCATGATTGATACCACTAAGATGGATATGATTTTAGTAAGATAATATTTCTGAACTCCATATCGTAGATGTCTTTACATTAGAAGGATTTATAAATTTAAAACATATATTATCTAGCTACACATGTATTTCAGTTAATAAGAGTTTTCCTCAAGATTATGACTTCTAATTCATAAAGTAAGACACTTCAGGCTACTAACTTAGGTTCGGCATTTTGGACATGACAGTAACTTTTCTCCTTTTTGCCTTGCAATCAGAAGTTTGATTATAATTGTCATACTCTGTTATCATTATTATTATTATATCATCATCATTATTATTACTTTTGGTGGTGTTGTTCTTATACTATCCAATAATACTAAATATTTTCCATGGCAGTCATTGCATTGTCCTGTATTTTCTAGAAATACGGTATCATATGTTTGCGTTGTCTAACTCAACATCCATGATAAATTACTTTCCTACTTTCATTGTGCAAGTTTTCAGCAATAAATAACAGCATTTACATCAGCATATTAGTCTAACGATATTATACTTCATGTATTTCTCCCTGAATGAAAGTCAATCGTTCATCAGTTCTAACGTGATGTACAACTAGGGCTCACCTCAATGAAAATAAAACAAGCTGCCTTTAGTAATATAAAAGATAAAGGATATCCCATGCAGTAACACTAAGGATGAGTAAGTGAATGGATAAAAAATAACAGAAGAAGAGGCTTTTAGCATGTATTCATTTAATATTTAAATAAATAAACTTAAAATTATTCTTTTCTTAACAAGTACTAGAAAATCTTAAAAAACATTTTCCTAGCATATCAACTGTTAAATAACACTTTCATAATTTAAAGTGCAAAAGGCGAAACAAGAACTAACAACAATTTTAGAACAGAATACAAGTCACAAATATATGTGGAAAAAAATTAACATAGTCGAATTAATGGAGCATTAACACGAAGAGATCTCAAAAGCTAACAAACTGAATAGTTCATATCCACCTAAATCAACAATTCAAATAGAATTACTTTACACTTAAATTAACAAGATTTTCTTTAAGTATAGCGTGCTATGAATAGCTTATAACAATCGAAATTAAACATATAACATTAGGAAAACTAGAGGAATCAATTCAATCAATTCTCCGCCAATTTAACAGCATCCAAAAATCACAAATCACAATATAGCAAACATAAAAAATAAAAAAAAATAAAAAAAATAAAAAAAAAATTATCTCTACAAATCACAAACTGTCATAGTTGGACATCACAAATCACAGATAGACTTAGGCTCAAGTATTTGGGTACCTAGTAAGCAAAATACTTTGACGATGAAGATAAGAAAGTGAAGGAGAATAATGCCAGTAACAATCTCGAAACCTATATAAAAAGAGAAGATGGAGAGTTAAACAATAGCAATGCCTCAATAACTTTGTTAAGCAATAGTAAAGAAAATTAGACATTTGACTGGTTTCCTCCTTGTATGCTTAAATATCTACCTTATCAAAAAAAAAAAAAGATATCATGAGAAGAAAGTCCGACAAATATTTGTAATAGAAGATATACTCTCCAGAAACCTGATATTGAAAAAAGTTGTAGATATGCTCAAACTGATCATGTACAAGTCTTTTCTTTTAAAACCAACATATTATTTTAGTAGAGTGCAACATTTTTCTGCTCGGAGATTTCCAAATTTAAGGGTAGAAGCAGTGCTTATACAGAAATATAAAAAAATCTCTTATAACAGGATTTAGCAATATATATCTCAGAGAGGTTTCGAAACTGTAATTAACTGAATCTAATAGTTCAAGCAATTGCAATCCTAGTTTCTCACCACACAAATGCTAAAACTAGATAAGAAGCACATCAGAGGTGCTAAAGTGTACTTTAAACTTCAAAGTGAATAAATAGTTGAAGACTTCGCACATCAAATAGACGACTGGGACTATCAAGAACGGGAAAAATTTCCTAATACATGTCCCTAACAACAATGATTGGTATTAGTGAAGAATAAAGGAACAAATTGCACAAAATGCCTTGAATGATAGAAAAGCACTTCATTACTATATTTTTTATATATCAAATAGATAACATAGGACAACGACTGAAACTATAACATATGAAACTATAAAATTCCATATAATGGCCAGTAAATCTTAAGGACGATGCGTTATTCTCATTGCTTAATTTCATAGAATTTAAAAAATTAACAAGATGTCTTAAAGTCTATTTTTTGAGCAACAACAACCCAAAAAAAAGTATTGTAGTGGCTCGGAATAAAATTTAGCAGCGATTGAGATGGTGCCGGCGATTATACTTCGATAATCGAAACCCTAGACCTAACCAACAATAATTTTTCATCAACCCCTAATCCACCCAATCGAATCATAAATAGAGACAGAAACTTATCGGTGATTGTGAAGGTGTCAGCTACTGTGACGGTGCCGACGATTTTGGTCATCGGTTGAGATATAGGGAGATGGAGATGCTGGGTGCCAATTTCAAGAGTATATTGTTTGAGCGTATATTGTTTTGCCAATTTAGAATATTTTGTTGAAAAGTTTGAGCGGCTTTACAAGGTTTAAGCGGGAGAGGATTTAGAGGAAAAATAAAACAGGAACAAAAATAATATTTTTACCGTTTATTCTCTTAAATGGAAATTAAACATATACTAATTACTGGTAAATATTTATTGGCCGGTAATATTTGCGTTCCCCGAATAAATTAGCGGCAATTACTTTATTGCCGATAAATAATTGCCGCTAAAACCCGTATTTGTTTTAGTGCCTAACATTTATGTGCTTAGTTCTCTTATGATGAACCGGATTTTTTGTCATACTAATGGCACTAGTGTTATCTCAAAAAATAGGGATACAACCAATATCAATTCCGAAGTCCATTAATTATTGTTTGATCCACAACAATTGAGCAGAACATGAAGCAGCAGCAACATACTCAGTTTCAGCAGTAAATAAGGCCACTGAATTTTGCTTTTTAGTAGCCTATGACACAAGACATGACCCAAGAAAGTGTGTCATACCTGAGGTGCTCTTTCTATCCACAAGAAAACCTGCATAATCAACATCAACATATCCCACAAGATTGAAGTTATTACCTTTTGAATACCAAAGACAAAGATCAGTGGTGCATTTTAGATATCTCAAAATTCTCTTGACATCAGTCAAGTGAGACTCCTTTGGATTTGCCTGAAATCTTGCACAAAGGCCTACACTAAAAACAATATCAGGTCTACCAGCAGTAAGATATAATAAAGAGTTAATCATTCCCCCATACAACTTCTGATCCACAGATGAACCAGGTTCAGCGATATCCAACTTTGTAGTTGTTCCAATAGGAGTGTCAATTTCTTTTGAATCTTCAATTGTAAACCGTTTAAACAACTCTTTTACATACTTCTTGTCACGACCCCTGTTCGCCCTCCGAGAACTGCCGTGACGGCACCTAGTCTCTACGACTAGGTAAGCCTAACAAATGTGGAAAATAACAAAACATACGGAAGAATAATTAAAAACCAAAATAACCGAATGAAACAGTATTTAAAATGTCGCTCAACATATACAATACAACTTCTCGAAAACTAACAACATTTTCCAAAACCCGGAATCTCATGAAACCACAAGCCTTGGAATGTCTACCAGTGTCTAACTCCAGAATATCTAACAAGGAAAAGAAAATACATAAGGGCTAATACAATAGGGAGAGTAGGAAGTGACTTCTCGGTCTGCGAACGCGGTAAATATACCTTGAAGTCTCTGGAACAGTCGCCTCGCCTAAGGGTGATAGGACTGAGTCAAAGTACCTGGATCTGCACTTGAAAAACATGCGCAGAAAGGGCATGAGTACACCACAGCGGTACTCAGTATGTGTCAAGCCTAACCTCGGTAAGGTAACGACGAGGAAGGTCAAGGACCTACTGAGGTTAAATAAAATATAAAGTTAGACAGTGTAGAACAGATCAATATAAATAAGTACAATAGTAAAAGTAACACAAGATATAAAAGGGCAACAAAAACTATTACAGAGGCAAGGTAAACACAGAAAGAAATAAGGCTCAGTACCAAAATAACAATCGGGGATCTCCCAGAATACCGTCCTATAGTCCCAATTATACATATCCAATGGATCTCCGGGGATCCCGTCCCGTAGTCCAACTCATAGTGCCCGGAGATCTACCGAAATCTCGTTCCGTAGTCCCAAATATAAATACCCAGTACTAGGAAAATCTACCGGGTGCAGTCCCATAGTTCCATATAACTGTGCAGGGGGGTCTACCGGAATCCCACATCCGTAGTCCCAAATAAACAGACAAGGGGGAGCTACCGGAATCCCACATCCGTAGTCCCAAATAAACAAACAAGGGGGAGCTACCGGAATCCCACATCCGTAGTCCCAAATGTAATTATACAGTAGCATCAGGAAAATATTCAAAAATGTCAATTTCATATCAAGGAAAACAAGTAATTCTAGCCTAGCATGCTACACGGAATTCAAGTAAAGTAGTTTGAGCAAATAAGGCAATTAAAACACTTAGACATGCTTTCCTAAGCTAACAACAGGCTTTAAATGCAGGTAATATAAACAGGAAAAGAAACATACTAGTAGTTACTTAATGAAAATCGGATTTTCAACAATTAGCATAAGTATGCACTCGTCACCTCACGTACAAGGCATTTCAATTACCACAATACCAAATTCTAAGGGGAAGGTCCCCCACACAAGGTTAGGCAAGCCACTTACCTTGAACAGACTCAAAATCAACTCGAAACCACGTTCTTGCCCCGAGTACTCGACTCCAAATGGCCCAAATTTATTCAATTCAATTGCATAATATAAATAACACTTCAAGTAACTGATTCTACAATTAAATTCTAAGTTAATACACGAAATTAGATAAAATGACCAAAATGCCCCTCGGGCCCACGCCTCGGAATCAAGTAAAATTTATATTTCCAGAATCCTCACACTCTCACGAGTTCAGTCATACCAAAAGTACCAAAATTGGATCTCAAATGGTCCCTCAAATCATCACTCAAAAGTCTCTAATTAATCAAGCCCTAACCCCCAAATTACCACTGATTTTCCTTAATTTTTCATGCTTATAATGATAAAAATTACTCCAATAACGAGTTTAGGGACCAAAGACCTTACCCCCAATGAACTCCTCTAAAAATCTCTCTTGAAAATGCTCCCCCAAACCTTCTTCCTGTTTGAAAAGAGGTGAAAAATAGCTCAAATTTGCGAAGGCAAGAATTTATATGTTTCTACCCAGTTAATCCAGCGGTCCCGCTTTTGCGAACCAATGGTCGCATCTGCGACAATCACTAACCCTGCCTGTTTCCGCAACTACGATTCCCCATTCGCAGATGCGGTACCGCTTCTACGGTAAATTTCCCCCATCTGTGGACCCTGCTGCTCCTGCCCAATTCCGCTTCTGTGATGACAAATGCCGCTTTTGCGGCTACGTACCTGCGGGACCCAACTGCAGGTGCGGTTATGACAGAAGATCAGCAACTTCAGCTGCAACTCCAAACTCAAAATCCTTCTGTCAACCATACGAAATCATCCCGAGGCCCCCTGGGACCTCAACCAAAGGCACCAACAAGTCCAATACCCATGTCCAAACTTATACCAATCCTTAAAACACCTAAAACAACATCGAAACGACGAATCAACCGTGAATTCAAGCCTAAGAACTCCAAAACTCTAAAAATACGCTTTCGATCAAAAAGTCTACCAACCCCTATCCGAATGAACTGAAATTTTTAATACACGTCCCATTTAAAATTACAGAGCTACTCCAACTTCCGGAATTCCATTCCGACCCTCGGATCAAAATCTCACTATCGAACCGAAAACTTCAAAATTTGACCTTTCAGCATTTCAATCCTAAATTAGCTACGGACCTCCAAAACACAATCCGAACACGCTCCTAAACCTGAAATCACCCAACGGAGCTAACGGAACCATCAGAATTCCATTCTAAGGCCGTCTTCACATTGTTATGACTACGGTCAAATTTCCAACACTTAAGCTCTCATGTAGGGACTAAGTGCCCAAAAACTCTCCGAAACTCAAAACCGAACATCCCGAAAAATCAAAATAGCAGAAATAAACATGGGGAAAGTAGTTAATAGGGGATCGGGGCATTAATTCTTAAGATGACCGGTCAGGTCGTCACATCCTTCGACACTTAAACATTCGTTCGTCCTCGATCGAGCATAGAGACATACCTGAAGTAGTGAAAAGATAAGGGTATCGGCTGCGCATATTCTGCTCGGTCTCCCAGGTTGCCTCCTCGACCGGCTGACCCCACCACTGAACCTTCATTGATGCAATGTTCTTTGACCTCAGTTTTCAAAGCTGCTTGTCCAATATTGCCACTGGCTCCTCAACATAGGATAGATCCTTGTCCAGCTGGACTGAACTGAAATCTAACACGTGCGACGGATCACCGTGATACCTCCGGAGTATCGAAACATGAAATACCAGATGAACTCCTGCCAAATTGGGAGGTAAGGAAAGCTCATAAGCAACCTCCCAACACGCCGCAATATCTCAAAAGGAATAATAAACCTCGGACTCAACTTTACTTTCTTCCTAAATCTCAGAACGCCCTTCATAGGCAAAACCCGAAGCAGAACCCGCTCTCCAACCATATAGGAAACATCACGAACCTTCCGGTCTGCGTAGCTCTTCTGTCTGGACTGGGCTGTATGGAGTCTATCTTGAATCACTTTAACCTTCTCCAAAGCATCATGTACCAAGTTTGTGCCCAATAATCTGGCCTTACCCGGCTCAAACCAACCCACTAGGAACCTACACCGCCTACCATATAAGGCCTCATACGGTGCCATCTGAATGCTGGCTGGTAGCTATTGTTGTAAGCAAACTCCGCCAATGGCAAGAACTGATCCCAAGACCCTCTGAACTCAATCACACACGCACGAAGCATTTCCTCAAGAATCTAAATAGTGCGCTTGGACTGTCCATCCATCTGAGGGTGAAATGTTGTACTAAACTCCACCCGAGTACCCAACTCATGCTGAACGGCCCTCTAGAACCGTGATGTGAACTGAGTACCTCTATCTCAAATAATGGAAACTGGAATGCCATGCAGACTAACAATCTCCCGGATATAAATCTCTGCTAGGCGCTCCGAAGAATAGGTAGTACACACAGGAATGAAGTGCGCGGACTTGGTCAGCCGATCCACAATCACCCAAATAACGTTGAATTTCCTCAAAGTCCGTGGGAGCCCAACTACAAAGTCCATGGTGATCTGCTCCTACTTCCACTCCGGAATCTCTATCTACTAAAGCAACCCACCCGGTCTCTGGTGCTCATACTTCACCTGCTGACAGTTGAGGCACCGAGCTACAAATCCAACTATATCTTTCTTCATCTGCCTCCACTAGTAGTGCAGTCTCAAATCCTGATACATCTTCGCGGCACCTGGATGAATGGAATACTGCGAACTATGGGCCTCCTCTAGAATCAACTCCCGAAGCCCAACAACATTGGGTACACAAATCCGACCCTGCATCCTTAATACCCCATCATCACCAATGGTCACATCTCTGGAATCACCATGCTG